TCAACAAATAAGAAGGAGGCAGTTTATTTGAATGTTCACGTTATCTCTTTAAAATGTGAGTATGCTAACACATAAACGGCAAAAGTGAAATGAAGCAAAATGCTATGCAGATCAAAGAGATACTGATAGAGTGTATCTTCTTTTGATGGTGATATAAAATATTGTAATTAATTCTGATTTCCTCTTCCATTCTCAGAGCTATGAATCTTTAAAGGTTTAAATATCCTATTGATGTATCATTTGTCACAATAAAAACCCAGGGGGGTTAAGAGATTGCTTAAGATTTGAAAATGCAACAAGAGCGGGTCTTACGGTTAAATGAAAACAATCAACCGTGACGGACTAAAACTCTTATATCAAACTCTACAATCTCCCCAGGTTTTCAGATTTATTAATAGCCATTTATCATAAATGTATTATTATCTGAAAGAGCTTTCAATGAAACCAAAGCAAACGGTTTATGTTACAAATTCCTTTTAGAAGGGTTAAATTTCAAATGTACACAGATTTCAGTGGGGAGAAAGGAAAAGCGACACAACACATAAATCGAATGTACTTTCTTTTCTGTGGAAAAGGCCAAATGCATGCTGTCATTTCTACAGCATGTCAGCTACCTTTAAGGACTCGAGACCCCTCTCTGCCCATCCTCCCTTCGTTTCTCTGAGAGAATTTCCCACTGACCATTTTGTTCACGTTCCATTCACTCTACGTCCCCAAACTTCCAGGAATCTGCAGAACGTGCCAGGTCAGCCCCAGTGTGTTCGTTTTCTCTGCCTCGGTGCCTCTGCACGGGCTGGCCACTTTGGGAAATTCGACTCATCACTGAAATCCAGGCTCAAGTGCTGTATTTTAGGTGAGACCCTCAATGCCTATCACTATGACCTTAAAAGAAAACTAAGGAGTGGCACCTGGGTGGCTCAGTCAGTTCAGTTCCCGACTCTTTGAGTTCGGCTCAGGTCATGAGCTCATGGTTCCTGAGTATGAGCCCCACATCAGGCTATGTGTTTTCAGGGCAGGGCCTGCTTGGGAATCTCTCTCTCTCTCTCCCTCTCTCTCTGCCTCTCCCCTGCTCATGCATGCTTTCTCTTTGTCCTTCAAACTGAATAAACTTAAAAAAAAAAAATACAACTGTGAAAACTATTAAATAATTAAGTGTATGTATGATATATGCACATGCTATGGTCTGAATGTTTGTGTATCGCCATAACTCATGTTGACTCCCTAATGGCCAACGTGATTGCGTTAAGGAGGCAGGGCCTTGAGGTGTGGGTATGTCACAAGGGCTGATTATGGCCTTTATAGGCCATAGAAGGGGCCCCACAGAGCTCCCTTGCCCCCTCCTCCCTGAGATGACACGGGGAGAACACAGCCATGTGCAGCCTAGAACGGTGGCCTCACAAGAACTGGATCGTGTTGTCCCTCGAACTTGGACCCCATCCTCCGGAACAGTGAGAAACACATGCCTGCTGTAGAGAAGCCACCGTGTCTGGTTTTATTTTGTTATAGCAGGCTGCGTGGGTTACCACAGTGTATCCGGCTACCTGGGATTATACGTTTTAAAGTTAAAGTCTATGGCACTGCACACAAGGAGAAACGGATGTTAGAAAAGTTAATGCTGGTGACCTGGCGTGATTCGGTTGAGTGCATCCTGGTCTTGGAGGAGGGGTGGATTCGGGGAACGCAACACGAAGGGACGTGGGAGTTGGGGGGGGGGGTGACTACTGCATGGGCTTGGTTGAGGGGACGAGGACAGACGTGCCTGGGTTGTCTACTGGGCAGAGGAGAAAGTCATCTTGGTTAGATACTAAAATATTTAAACGAACTAAGTTACTACCACTGTTCAATCAAGAATACATGGAGAGTGTCGTTGTCCTCTCTTGGATAAGTATCTACTCTCACTAGTACCTTATGGCGGCCTTTTCTACCAGATCCAGAGTCTAGTTAGTTAGACGACTGTTGTGTATTTTCCTGTGAAGAGCTGGGCACTTTCATCAACACAACTGATTGTGTATTTTAAAAAAAAATTTTTTTTAACGTTTATTTATTTTTGAGACAGGGAGACACAGAGCATGAACGGGGGAGAGTCAGACTGAGAGGGAGACACAGAATCCGAAGCAGGCTCCAGGCTCTGATCTGTCAGCACAGAGCCCGACGCGGGGCTCGAACTCACGGACCGCGAGATTGTGACCTGAGCCGAAGTCGGACGCTCAACCGACTGAGCCCCCCAGGCGCCCCAGCTGATTGTGTGTTTAAAGCACAGCGGCCTCAACTTTTCCATCTTCCCCGCACTGCCTGAAAAGTCTGCAGTTACAACTTGAGGCCGCGCGTTGGCAGTTGCTCAACTCATTCATCCCGAAGGAAAATGGAAAAAAGAGAGCAACTTCTATGTGCTCCCTTCCTAAGTCCCATTCAGCTCTGGTCAAAAAAATAAAAAGAAATAACAAATTATTATTAAATTTGCACAGTGGCTCCCAATAAAGCCACGTGTTTGCATATCAGGTAAATAACTCTTCCAATAAAATTACTTCTATGATTTGCTTACTGCAGATTTTGGATTAAATGGTTTAATAAATATTTTGATTGATGCTTAGTTATGCATGAGTAACAACTAAGTATTTTAGGTGTGAGGCCTTTATCATACTTTGTGCCCTTGTTATAATTCTTGCCAATACAAAATCCTACTATAAATATAGTAAATACTTTTGCATACTATTTATGATGCCTCAGATTAAAAAAAATTATTAGTCCAGTAGCTAGCATCCTCTGACACTGTTTAGTAATTACATGGGTAAATTTTATTTATTTTCTTCATCATTAGGGTTCCAATCACAAAAATAAGACCTAATACAAATTCATATAACACCAAAAAAATGTGGAGATAAAAACTGAAAGACTCTCTCCCTCTCCCTACAGCTTGCCAACCTCCCAAAATGAGAGCATTAGGGTTACCGTTCTAGAATGTCTATTTTCAGCCAGTTTCGATGTATATCCCGTAAATGTGTCTGTAAGTACATGCATGGATATGTTCACGTACACAACGTGCATTGTCCTGAGACTTGCTCTTTTCTCCAGAAAGGGGGTATCATTTCAGTTTCCTAGCAACAGGACAGAATGAACGCACATCTCCCTAATCCCATGATGATGGAGAGTAATTTGACCTTTCTTTTTTGCAAATCAACAGGGTAGAAAAAAAATTTTTTTTTTTGCATTTTCCTGAGTCCGTGTCAGAGTGGACATATTTTGAAGTGTTCTGTCTCCTTCTCTGAAAAGCCTATGTATGTGTTTTCCTCGTGGACCTGTTGTTTTGTGTTATGTCACTATTTTTCTTCCGTCCGTTTGGGTGATAAAAGTATCTCGAATCACATTACATGGACAGACCAATTATTTTCTGTAGTCTGACCTTTTCCTTTAACTTTTTTTTCAATAGAAATTTTAATTTGTATGTAGTGAAATCTGTCAATGTTTTCCATTTACTGTGTCTGGATTTACAATTTGAACAACATCATTTATGAAATGTCATCTCTCTTCATGGATTTGGAATAATTTTAGCAAATTAAGTTCTTATACAGGCATATAATCTATTTGTGTATTTCTGTACTGGTTTCATATTTTCATTTTCATCTATTTTTGGTATACTTCGATACCAGATAGAGTCCTTCTTTATCATTTTTAAAAAAAATATATGCCTATTTAGAGGCTTTACTCTTCCAGATTCATTTATAACATTTATAAATTTATATTAAAAATCCAAATTCATTTTAATTAGATTGTATTGAACGTAAAACTTTATTTGTAAAAAATTTGTATATTTAAATTTCATCCCTACCGTCCAGAAATGTATTAGGTATTTCCCTGTATGAGGATATTCTTTTTGTATTCTACTGTAAACTTCTAAATTATTTTAAGGTAAGCCTCCATGTTTCCTGTTAAATATACTCCTGAAGGTTTTAGAGTATATAGATATTATACTTCTACTAACTGTATCCTTTGTGGAAATCCACAGATCTATGTTTATCCTGAACATGGTCATCTATTAGCACTTACTGCCCAAACTTGACAGTCTGTTCTTTGTAATAGTTATAATTTATGCCGTTTTCTTATATTACTGCATGTGTGAGGATCTTCTGGGTAATAGGAAATAACATTCCTGGTACTAAGAAAGTTATTCTGTTCTCGCCTTCCATGAAACTTTTTATAATAGTTTGTTATGAAGTGTGGTATTTTCTATAGGTATATTCATTTCTGTTATGGTTCTCTCTAAGCCACAAATACAACCAACCACATTACAACATTGGTGAAAAACTGTTGTGAATGGGAAAAATATATTCTTTTTTATAGAGATAATGTGATAATGTTGTTCTATTCATGGCCAAAGGACAAATCCCTTACTGTCTTTGCAAATGGCCACAAGTACCGTATTTGCATATACCCTGCATGGAGCCATCGTCAAGGTATTTGTTTGGAGACTTCCAAGGGGGGATACATTCAGGGAAGGGGGAGTGGCTACCCCCGGAAACCACTTGGGGGTCTTCTGGGAAGGTGCTTCCCCGGTGGGTCAGTTGTCCAGGGAGAGTGCTGAGAGCTTAGAGGAGCTGTGTAGACCTCAGGGTGGTGGCTCAATGCTTGGACTCGGTTCGGAGGAAGACTGGGCCTGATGATGTGGAGCACACGCGCTCACTAGCCTGCCTTCGTGCTGTCTTCAACAAATGCCTCGTGTAAGAGTGTGTGCATAACTGAGCTCTGTAAGTTTCCGTGTCTGCTGATAAAGTTGAAGACCGGTCCATAATTTTTTAATTTTTCATTTCTAGACAGACACCTTACCTCATAGAAAAAAAAAAATGTGCTAGATAAACTTCAAGTATTAAACGGAATTGTTTCTAAGGTGTACACTTTTCGTATCATACCGCCCTGTACAATACAACACATTCCACCCAAACAACTGAGATATCGACAGCATCCACATTTCTGTAGGGTTTACGGCTCCCTTGAGCTCCACCTACCGTCACAGCTGGGCAGGGCGTGGTTCCACTGATGGTTCCTCTCACAGACCAGAGGCTCATCATCGCTCAGTGTGTACCCCGGGTCACAGCTGAAAGTCACCGTAGACCTGATGCCAAAATGACTGCCGTGCCGATGCCCATTCACAGGGATTCCTGGGTCAAGGCAAGAGTCCGAGTCCAGAGTCACACCTGCGTGCGCAGAAAAAAATACATTAACCACGGAACTCTGCTGGCTTACAGAAAAAATATGTGTGCAGTCGTACATATAAAATATCCCCAGACATCATCAGACCTGGAAAATTATTCAAGTGAATCCAACCATCCATTAATGTAAACAACCAATACACTTTTGCGTATCTGATCCTGTTTTTCTGTAGAGACAGATATTGTTAACTATTTATCAGATGACCTGTAAGTCTACAAACCTGAATAATCCCTTGATGTCTGAAGTTTACTTCACTTCGTTGGAAAACCAGTGAACTGTTAAATGAAGCCTGTCTTCTGTCTATCTCTAGCCTCCCCCTTCCCCTTACTGTATTTTATGTTCTAGTTAGATTTGGGCAGTCGTCCTTCAACTTTCGTAGACACGCACACATGCGCCCAAGTCCATACACACATCCTGCAAACTAAGACCTCACTGGATCTGATTCTCTAAAACTGCATTCCACACATCCGTGCATTTTTCACATTTGCACATCAGTCAGCCACTTTGGAGATGGCTACAATTAGCCTATGCTAAAAGGCGCTAAAAAGTAAAGTGCTATATAAAGTCAAGTGATTATGATCATGTCATTACAAGAGTTTCTTTGCTCTGTCTCTCAGATTTCTCTTTATTTTTAGAATATACATTTGAAAAGATAAGGAAAACGGGAGCAGGAGAAGAAGATGACAGTGTGATGGTTATGAATTCAAAGACATAAGAAAGACTCTGCCACTGCTTATACACAACTCTCTAAGTTAGGTTTGGAGCATTACAGTGACGACTTAGACCATGAATTAAAAATCTTAAATCATCACTGATGATGCTCAGTCCCCCCAAAATGATCTCTGGAATAACATTTCCAGTCACTGCATAAATTTGAGTGATGTACCTTACACCTTATACCCTCACTCATTAAGTCAAATACATGACATACAAGTAAGGAGTGAGTTTTTAAAATAAATAATGAGTGATAATATTTCTTCATTAGTATATAGCCAAATGTGATTCAATAGGTACCAGATTGCAAGCAAGAAAGCTGAGCCACTACTGAAAAATAGGTAGTTAGAAATGTGGTTTCTAAGGGAGGTCTAGCTCCTAAGAGGTAACCTGTAAACCCTTGGAATTTCTTTAAGTTTATTTATTTATTTTGAGAGAGAGAGAGAGAAAGATTGAGAGAGAGAGAGAGAGAGAGAGAGAGAGAGAGAATCCCAAGCAGACTCTGCACTGTCAGTGCAGAGCTAAACACGGGCTCAATCCCACAAAACATGAGATCGTGACCTGAGCTGAAATCAAGAAGTGGACGCATAATTGACTGAGCCACACAGGCGCCCCGACCCTTGGAACTCCTTGAGTGCTAGGAGTGTTTTGTTGTCCATGCCGTGCCCCTGGACCAAAAGGATTTCAGTCTAGCTGACAAGGAAAGGGCAGCTGGAGATTGAGTTGAACCACGAGGGCAATGATTCAATGCATGATGCTTCTCTAATGAAACGCCAATCAGATCTCTGGACACAAAGACCCCAGTGAGCTTCCCAGGTGGGCAGGACTGTGCGTATTGCCCCACAGTGTGGCTAGGAGGTGACACCATTCATGGCCCCATGGGGAGAGGATGACACCCTTTGTGTCTTCCTCTGCCTAACCTGGATCCTTTCTGTAATGCATGTGACTGTGGGCACAACAGCTTTCAACGTATGTCAAGTCCTTCTATCAAGTTATCAGAATGGAGGGTCATTTGGGGAACTCTGAACTTGCAGTTGGTTTCAGAGTTGGCAAAATAAGCAGGTTTTGCCCTTTGCAAATCTGTGTGCTTAACCCCAGAGTTTGGTTACACTGGGTAAAAACTGGAAGACCATCATAGTTAAGATTTCCAAAGGAAAAAATCAAACAATGAACAGAAGAAGAGGCTAAGTGAAAAGACAAATATATGGCACTATTTTTCCCAAGAATTTTTTTCTTAAATATTCTAACTAATCTCCTGAAAACCACTGTGTGCCTACTACCATAAACAACAGGTGCCAACTGTCATGACATCCTTCCATTCCTGTGCGGGGCACGGCTCTGCCGAAAGCCGGGCAGCATCATGTGCCCCACAGCCGTCATCTGCTCTGCCCCTCTGTCTCTAAATCCCCCCACGTACACTCATGTTCTAAGGCCGTGTTTACGACCTCTTTTGTAACACAGCAGCGATGGCATGAGTACGCCCTATATACAATGGGTACATACACTAGCTTGTTGGTTTTGCAGGGACAAGATTAACACAAGAATTCCCCCAAAAGACACTTTGCCAAAGAAATGGATTAGTGGGAAGATCCCTGACAAACCATTTAACTATATTTTTGCATTTTGTCAAATGCTTTCCGATGATCACTAAACAATACGCTCACTGCACCGCAGCAAATAAACATAATAGGAAAAGGGTGCCTTGGAGGCTCAGTGGTCAAGTGTCTGACTCTTGGTTTCAGCTTAGGTCATGATCTCACAGTTGTGAGATTAAGCCCTGATTTGGACTCTGCGCTGACAGCGTGGAGCCTGCTTGGGATTCGATCTCAATCTCTCTCTCATTCTCTCTCTCTCTCTCTCTCTCTCTGCCCCTGCCCTGTTCTCTCTCTCTAAGTAACTTAAAAAAGAACTTTAAAAATAACAGGATTTAATATTTTAGATGATGTGAGGGCAATATATTAAGTAATAATATTCACAATAAAACGTATAGATGGTAAGCAAACTTTTTCCCACATAAAATTTGCAGGGAACAAAGAGAAAAGCATCAGAGGAAACCAAAGCATACAAATATAAATGCAGAATTCTTTACATACAAAACTGAACTGCAAAATAAACACTATGTTGAAGTCATAACTGCTGGTTAGTACTAACTTTATTCCATCATCCATTCATTCACTCATTTTCCCAAAATAATGGACAGAAATACTAAGTTGCACAACGTACAGTTATCGTACTGCTTTGCATCACAGTATTTTTGAAGGGACACTACATAGGAGGGTAACTGCGTGCTAGAACTCGCCTGAAATGCACCATAAACAGGAACTGTGCAACAAGATGGCAGCAGGGAGAATGGAGGGCAGTGCACGGGGCGGGTGACATGACTCAGTAGGAAAAGCCCTTTAGAGCGAACTAAAACCAGTCTGTGAGGACGGGCAGCCAACGGACTTTGAAGGAAACCTACACAGACTACTTCAGAGCACTGCTTCGAGCATTTTCCCCCTCCCGAACGAGCCCTCGCCATACAAAGAAAAAGTGGCATTAACGGATTTTGTTGCAGCTTTGAGCATGCGCCTATTCTGTCCCAATTGCTTCTTCCTCGAAATGTAACGTGACGATGCGTTTTCTGACGCAGGGATGTAAATACACTGCTCATCATTTGGCCCGTCAAGCAAAGAACTCAGTAGCTCACTACCAGTGAATGACTGAAGCGAATGGCTTTGACGATGTCCACGTGCACGTTATATTAACGTACACTTGACACAAGCAAAGTTCTGCTTAACTGTTTTTCTACAAGTTCCAGTCGAAGGAAAGGGATGCATATTCTGAGTACCTTTTACCTCCCAAGGCTCTTTCCACAGCCTTCGAAAGGGTTGGAAACAGCAGTCACAATCCCATTTGACAGATGAGGGAATAAGCCAAGAAATTAAGTAAATTGGTTATGTTAAATTATTCACCAGGGTTCACACCTAAGCCCTCGCCTGCCTTCGTCCCTCCCACCGTGGGGGTGCGCCCGTGCCCACGGGTCCAAGTTTCCAACTGCACGGCATCCATACCCATTACATTTTGACTAGTTTTCCTTTCTGATCTTAAGAAAGGTCATTAACTCTTTCCCTCTCTCTCTCTCTGCCCCTACCCCACTTGTGCTTGCTCTCTCTCTCTCTCTCTCTCTCTCAAAATAAATAAATAAACTTATAAAAAAATTTAAAAAGGGGTGCAGTCAGTTGAGTGTCAGACTCTTGATCTCGGCTCAGGTCATGATCTCACAGTTGGTGGGTTTGAGCCCCAAGTCTGGCTCTGCCCTGACAATGTGGAGCCTGCTTGGGATTTTCTCTCCTCTCTCTCTGCCCCTACTCCTTTCTCTCTGTCTATCTCTCTCTCTCTCTCTCTCTCTCTCTCTCTCTCTCTCTCTGTCTCTCTCTCTCACAAAATAAATAAACATCAAAAAATTAAAAAACAAAAGTCATTAAATCTCAGAAACTAATATGCACGCATGCATGTGCGCACGCACACACACACACACATACACACACACACACACACACACACACCAGAAAACATTCTTCTTTGCCTTTCGTAATTTTTCTTAATGTTTACTTTTGAGAGGGAGAGCACGAGCATGGGAGGGATAGAGAGAGGGAGACACGGAATCTGAAGCAGGCTCTACACTGACAGCGGAGAGCCTGACATGGGACCCGAACCTATGAATCATGAGATCATGATCTGAGCCCAAGTCGGACGCTCAACCGCCTGAGCCACTCAGGCACCCCAATTTTTAAAAATTGCAGTGTATTAGCAGCAAAGCAGGACAGATACATTTACATGCAATGAACCTTGCTTTTCTGAAATATTTTAAAGGACACTTTTGAAAGCATTTCCAAAAAAACAACACTCTAAAATTGAATGGAAACCTCCATATGCTTGAGATACCAACTAGCTGTCCAGTTGCCTATAAAATCATGGCTACTTTACAGAGGTGGTTCAAAGCTCTACAACAAACAGAACCAGCAAATGATTATTCTGGGGGAATAATACAACGACTATTATACAAACTGTGTCCCATTCCTCATGAAGAATAAAGTTAATAAAAGGACAGACTGTAACTGGACGCTGTGTTTATAAAATGGATGATTCCGGGGAGGCCGGGTGGCTCAGTCGGTTAAGTAACTGACTTTGGCTCAGGTCACGATCTCACAGTTCACGAGTTCAAGCCCCGCGTCGGGGGCTCTGTGCTGACAGCTCAGAGCCTGGAGCCTGCTTCGGATTCTCTCTCTCTCTCTGCCCCTGCCCTGCTCACACTCTGTCTCTTTCTCACAAATAAATACATTTTGAAAAATAAAAATTAAACAAATTAAAAAAAATTAAATGGATGATTCGTGAGAGTCCGCACACAGAACAGACGCCCCTTCTGGCTCTGCTCGTAGGAAAACCTTGAAAAGAAAGGCTTCGCCCGTCCGCCTCACAATTCACAAGTGCTGACATTAACGCTGCCTGTGGCAGCGCACGTTAGCTTATGGTGCCTGTGCGACAATAAGCCAGCCTTGTTTCTGCAGTGCCTTCTGCCTGTAAAGTAGATCTTCACACGCCCATTTGGGCATGGAGCGGGATCGTCAATAATTTTTTAAGGCAAGGAAGGCTGATAGTGTCAAATGTTTACCACAAAAGACGAAAGGGAGATGAGCTCTATTATTATGTTTAAAGGGCATAAAGAATTTGACATAAATCATTCTTGGGTCACAGGCAACCCGTTTTTTTTTTTTTTAACGTGTCGGATAAGCAAGGGTCATTATTTTCTACTGCTTCCACACTGGCTTCTGGACGTCTTTCTTCAAAGAGTACTAGAATTGGTCACAATGTTAAAGGGGTTGGTAACACGTGACTTCTTTTACGTTTTTCTCTTCTTCCTGTCTCTCTCTCTGCTCCTCTCTCTGTTCTTATTTCTTCCGTGACTCTGGGGGCTCCTGCGTGGCCTCCCTGCCCACCTGCCCTACCTCTACCTGGAAATCCATGTGTCAGTCCCGCCCTTGTCAGGGCCTGCCTGGGCTGACTCAGGCACCGGCTGTCACCTACGTGCCACCTCGAGGCGGTAAGAGAAATCCAGAATTCTGGTGGGCACCGCAGGCATGGTGAAATTACGGTATCTGGAATGTGAACGTAGGAGCCCGCATTGTACTAGGAATCCCGGGCAAGCCCTGATGCACAGTTGTGTCTGACAAGAGCTGCCCCTTCAGCACGCCTTCTGAACCAGGATGGCCACCTGGGCCAGCTACGGGCCTCCTCAAAGCCCTTGGGCCTCCGTCCAACCACAGCAGCGGCAGCACGGGACATCTGAGCTCGCGTTGCAGCTTCTGCTCAGTTTTAAGGCCTGCAGGTAACGGTTTTGTACGATGCCAGCCTGCAACCGCGGGGTTACAGAGCCCAGACCTTTCCTGACTCATTTCCGTATGAAAATCCCACATCCTGCTCATCCACTTTTCCCGTCTCCTTGTTTCTCCTCAAGTACAGAGCGGCTGATAAACAAATTGAGGTGATCACAGGTCACGCTTCGGTGTGGTCCTTCCGGGCAGTATTCTCCCAATATACGTTGGATACTTTCATTTGGAGGAATTCACAAAAACGTGTGGGGCCTTCTGGAAGGACCACGGGGAGTTCACAGGGCAAAAGCCAGCATGAACGTTTAGACCAGTGTCCCTGCTAAGAGCACTGGGTGGTGGATGCCGCAGGGACCTTCCCCACCTTCTCCCCCAGAGAGTTCTGTCCTCTTCTGTGATGACACTCCTGGCTCCCAGCTCTTCCTGTCAAGTAGGAGGAGGAGGGATTCTGGACCCCAAGGGATCAGAAAGGTCTGTCACTCACACAAGTATGTCTCCGCTGCAAACGCTACCAGCTTGGTGATTGTTTTCATCTTCTGTTATGGACACCCTGACGGAGGAAAGGCAAACAGCACTGCTCTCTGAGAGGTCACTCCAGCCTGTGGAAGCATGCTTACCAGGGCTCAGCTCTGTTGTCAAGCACAGGAGACCCACATCTCCTATCTCCATGCAGTCACTCTTTGAAGATCATAAAAATTACTGCTAGAATTACCGGCATATTATCGACTATGAATAAGGGTGGCAAGCGGAAGAGGAACTCGTGACCTGACTTTCGATCATTCTCTGAATTCTAGAAAGAATCGGTAGGAATAACCCGTTTATTTAAACAAGTTAGGTGGGAAGATGCCATCACTTTCTACTACCTGCATATAGGCTTTAGGATATAATTTCTTCACAGGGTACTGGAGAAAATGGGCAGAATAATGTATGGCTACACAAACAAGGGAGAGAAAAGAGAAGAATGAGAAACTCTGTTCTAGTTTTATTCAGTGCCTAAATAAGGCACCATTCTCGTAAGCTTCATCCAAGCGTGTGCTCAAAGGCCATGTAGCTCCAGACTTACGAAAAGGGGTGCGGTGGGGCGATACAGCACTGAGGAGTTTTACAAACCTGGATGGTTGTTAGGTGCACATATCTTCACTCCCAAGAAAGCAACGACTCAAAGGGACATTCAAAAGGAATGAAATAGAAGACTTTCTGGTTCTTAAATTGTACTTCATGTTTAAAAAAGACCTTACTTTGAAAGAAAGGTTGCATGATTATGAAGTGAAACCAACCAATTTAAATTTGAAATTAATCATTAAATCATGAACAGTCGATTTTCTTCCTATCAGAGAGAGTCATTTTTTTTATTAAGAACTCTACGTAGACTTGTATATGTGTATATGCACGTAAATATTTGCATGTGAGTCCATACGTGAGCATGAGAAGCGGAGAAACATACATAACAGGTTCTTAATCTAAGCTGCTGGGTGGAGTTTGCACAGAGGTTAACATGAGGAGCAGGGGGTGATGTGGGGACAGGAAAGCAAGAAAAAGAAAACAATAATGAATAAACATCCCACATGTTAGATATGACCCCACTCACGATCATTTGTAAAATTATATGTGTGGGTATATATGTAACTATATATTTGTATAATAGCACTGAAACTTAATTTTGTTTATTTTGGGGTAAGACTGTGAAAAACAGCAACCATAAAAACCTTGAAAAATAGAGGTTTTTATTCCCTCAGATTCAGTGTTCTGCATTTATCCATCTTTTTCCTTCTACTCAGAAAGGGACATATTTTCAAACAGAGGAAATTAACCGTTGGGTTTGTTTTTTCAAGTGACTGGCGTTAAGAATGCATTCCCAGGGTGAACCCCCCGGCTGCCTTCCACAAGTCCAGTTTCGTAAGGATCACTAGAATATACTAGCATGACCTGATCTCCAAATCTCAGAAACTAAAACTATGACTCAAATTCGTATTTATGGAAACAAAAATGGGAAGGAGCACTTCAAGTTGGGCAAGATATCCTGCACTGTCACATTTCAGCAACCATTGTAATTACTTCTACCAATCTTTCTGGACTCTTGCAGTGCTTGTAAACAGCAACAGTTAGGTGTCATTACTGAGGTTCTGCTGGATTTTAACTCCTTCTCCACTCTTGGTTCCATGTTCTCTCCCCACTGAAATATGTTCGCACAACAGCCTACCCATGTTCTTCCAGCAAAGAACCTCCCAGCTGTTGTTTAAGAGATACAATTTTAGTGGTAACTCCTTTGGTCAGGAGCTATATTTCTAATAGTAGTAATTTATGATTACAACATGTAGTAAACACATTTAATTACTTATTTAATTTTATAATCCATCAATGAGTATTTTATTATTTTTTTAGTTTTAAAGTGAAAGCCCCCAGGTTGCTCTCTTATCAATAAGAGAAGGTGCTTCAGGGCATGCAGTACAGGGTGGACAGAGGCAGCAAGGGCTGTCACCTGCGCTAGGGAACCAGAGCGCATGCCTGGGGGGCAGATGGCAAGTGGACCCTCCGACTTACTCTCGTAGTGAATGAGGAAGCCGACGCTGGAGCGGCTGTTGTCCGTGGTGAAGAGGAGATACATGAAATGGCCAGTGCTGATCAGAAACCGGGGGGCCTGCGTGCCATGGTACTCTCCGATCAGCGGGGACGAGCTGGCTGGCCCATCTCGGACTTCCAGCGTGTCATAGTTGACTTCAGTCTGGAATCTGCGGAGATTCGTCATGAGTCAGAACACAAAGCTGCATTAACTTACTGACGTTCCCCAAGTATTTTCGTGCATTCATGACAAAGCCATGTATACCTATATATATAAAAGACTTACAGTTATTCAACCTTTAAAAAGACCAGGCCCTGGGCACATATGATATTTAAGCACGTTACATTTTTCTAGAAAAAAAGGTATACCCTAAACCTATCCCTCTTACTGAATACTGGGTCATGTCACATCCCAAATGTAAAAGAGGGCAGTCTTTAGCTCTAAAATCAAAATACTGTGAACCATATTAGTTTTCAGTGAGAATAAGGGAAGGATAGGATGGGACAGGATGGGACAGGACGGAAGGAAAGAGCAGGGCAGGAGAGGAGAGGAGAGGAGAGGAGAGGAGAGGAGAGGAGAGGAGAGGAGAAAGAAAGAA